GCCTGTGGAGCCAAGAGGGGAGACAGAATCTAAGAAATGTGAAGCAGAAGAGAAACCAAATAAAACAGGGGGACATATAAAATTTACTGAAGAGCAGATCTGAAGGAAAATCAAGTGGAAATCAAGAGAAAAAGAGCAGTGAACAGCTATAGATACATGGAAAGAAGTTAAGAAACATTGGTAAAAGGAGTCACGAAGCTACAAGGAATAAAGAAAAGCACGAAGACACAAGAAGGAGGAGTGACAGCAAAAAAGAGAGAGGACCAGAGTGACCAAAGAGATAGCAAGGATCCAAGGATGTGAGCAACAGAGGACACGAGATGAGGAAAGAGAGAAATCTGTGACATAGCAAAACTGAAAAGGAAACTGAGGGAAAGACTGAGCCTTTCTGTCTGTAGAAAACCTTTTTACTTTCTTTTATTTTGCACCCCAAGATCCCAAAAATGTGATTGGCCCTTTATGAAACTAACAAACTGCATAAGCCCTTACAGCAGTTCTTTTCATCCATCAAGTCAGGGCAGTCTGGGAAACCGTCACAGATCATGGTGTGTTTGATGCACAGCTTCTTCAAAGGACACTCCCAAAGACCTCTTTCTCTACAACCTGGAGGCAGAGAAGCACAGTTTTGAAACACTTCTATGCAATATCGAATAAACTATTTTCTTCTTACTTAATAAAACTGAAACAACCAAAATATTTCCACCTGCAATATAAATTTTAAAAGGTACCAAGAATAGTTACTAATGAAGAAATGGAAATAAGATTGTCACAGCGCACACTTCATGATGAGTGTAAAATTCATAACATTTCATAATACTTCAGTGATTTTAAAGTAATAATCTATATTGTGCTACACATATCTATATCACTACTCTTGAAATACATTTACTAGTAAGATATAAACTTTTCTAACCCTGAAATCTGTACAGTTTCCTTTAAAAGCATACCATCTTTCAAAAGCAAATCCTATGACAGCATGGAATCTCCATGAAACAGTGTAGAAATATGCAATATTTTCTGGCAATGCTTATACAGAATACAATGCAGGTCACAATGAAAGATAAAGAGATGCTGTAAGTATTGACCAGAAACAGTTTTCCTAGTTCCATAATCTGAGACCAAACCAGTTTGAAAAGATTAGAATGACCCAGTGACTGCATGGGTCTTCAAGAGGGTTCAGTTATGCAAGGAACACACTGCACAATTGTCTCTTCAAAGTCCTGCTAACCAGCCTCTCTCATTTCAAGAGGGATACTTATAAAACTGGGTCAAAGTGTAATGACAGTAAAACTCCTGTTAGTCAGCTAGAGGAAATTAAGAATGACCCAAGAAACATCCTAGAAAAGTGCTTTCTCTTGTTTTATTTCACTTTTTACTTCCATCGGCTGATAAAGCTAACTGTAATACCAGTTTAAATCCTTTGACATACTAATTTCCTGCACATCTGACATTCTGGTTTTATTGGAAGCCATAAAAACAGTGTGATCTCCTGACTAAAACAGATGGTTTGATTGCCGTATTTAGCCTGTTCTATAGATGACACTGCTACTTTTCATTTTAATCCAAGCTCAAATTCAGGTGACAGCCCTGATGTCTCCACAGGCAAATATCTGAGGCATAAGCTCCCAAACTGCATTTGAAGCAGCAGCTCAGTTTGCCTGGACCTGGAACTATAGCAGCCTATCAGCAGTGAGTTACTAAGCAGATATGTTATTTCCAAGAAGTGTTATTTCAGAAGTGAGTACTTTACAAACAAGAACCAGAGAATCACTACTAGCTCACATGATTACTGGAAAAATCTGATCATATTTTAACTGTAACTGGATGTGTGGAGTGCTTGATTTCGTTCAGATTGAAAGAGCCATGTAAATAAATGTCCCAGCACAGAGTAATAAATAGCCTTGAACCTGTGAAACTAATTCCACACGATCAAAGAACTTTCTTGGGTATCACCATTTTTCAGCTCTCCTTCTTGACAGTATTTTTGATAACTATTAATGAAAAATTAATTGAAGTCAAACAAAACCTTTACTCTAATAAAGAACAAAGAATGACAGTCATGTTAGGAACTTGATATGGAAGCAAAATAAAAAAGCTTAAAATAGATTCATGAATCTTGCAATTTTTTAGCAAAGTGTTTACAATTAATTAAATACATGTTTGGTTTTCCCCTTCATCATATATTATAGTATTACATTGTCAAGTGTTCCATGACTTTCCAAAATTTATCTTTGAGTCCAACATAGACAAATATAAGGACCACTCCCTAGGAAAATTGCTGAATTCAGTGCTCAAACATACTGTTTTGTTGGTAGGAGCTACCTACTATTTGCCGTATTTATATTTCTTCTCTAAATGTTTTTGTGACATACATTTTTAATTCAATGACAATGAAATGGAAGTTAAAATGGAGGTAGGAAAACTTGCCAATTTACATTACCCCCACCTCAAATGCATATTTCAGCAAGAGACAGGGATGCACGTATGATCTTACCTTCATTCTTCTTCAAAATACAAAAACAATTCACCATTTGTTGTTCACACATATATTCCCTATGCAATTACTGTTAAGTCATTAACATTAAGACCACTATATTTTTCTCTCAACTAAAATACTACAGTCAGAACTCAGATTGCAGAGAAGCATTAAAGACAGTACTGGTTTCTAATGTTCTGTCTTCAATTTCTTTAGTACTCTTCTAGGACCCTCTTCTGCTCCCTGCCAGAGGCATTGTTCAGTAAATAAATATCATGAATTACAATCAAGGACATTTAATACCACAAAAGCTCTTGATGTCTCTAATAAAAAATAATTTTCAGAAATTACCTTCCTCATACTTTATATACTCAGGTTTCTCTTCAGATTCTGTAAATCTTTACTGAAATGCACTCAGAAGTCTCACATTCAGAAATCTGGGTCAAAGTTTCTCCCCAAATCCTAGTCTAAATGTCATTAAAGTCTTAGGATGTCACTGCAATTGCATGGATGAGATTTCCTCTCACAAAGATCATGTGAAAGTACAACAGGGATTTCTAACAGGAGGAGATGGCTGGTGCTGAATACAGCTCTACTCTGCATGGGCAGAACACACCTTACTCCCTTTGGACTGTTCTACCTTACATTTTTGGCCAGAGTACCTTGAGTTGTAGCTAGTCTTTTGTAGTCTCCTCCTACATGCACTGTGAAGTTGTTCCATGTGCCATTTAAGGCACTTCAAATACAAAGTTTTAAATTTAAATGCTGACTGTTATTTAATAGTATAAACCAATTTCAAAGGCTAAATCTAATACAATGTCAACTAGCCATTTACACATGGAAAGATCATCAAGTTTTGGTTTTGTCCTGCATACATGGAATAGGAATGAGCCAAAGACAGTTCTTTCTGAAGCTCTACAAGGTCTTTCTGTTCTTCAGTAACAGCATTACCCCTGGTCAATGTAATGTCACTCTGACTGCAATAATTTCCTACCAGATACAGTCTTCCATATTTATAGAAACTGATAAGAATTCAGCTGATTGCCAGTGACATTCTGTCTAGACTACAGAGATCCACTCGAGAAATGCATGATGTGTATTAGAGCAATATTTCTTATGTTAATGTCTAGGAGAATAAAATTATCCTAAAAGATGCGTAGCAATTAGTGTTTTAAGGAGTTAAGAACAGGTGGCAACACAGAATATTTGGCAGGGAGGACAACTGATTCAAAAGTAAAGAGAAGACAAACTTTGAGAGTTACTCTGATCATCAGCGATGCCTTTCCTTTATCATTCAAACAAGATGATGACTTACTACTAAATCCTGTATCAGGGAGCATATCATTTTTTTTTTCTTTTTGCAGGGGGAAGGGAACAGGGCAGAAAGAGGAGAGAGAATACAAGCGTGATTTGAAAACTCCCAGAGATTGAGAATGCATCACGCTTTAGTGATAAATAACCCCTTGGTTACTCCAATGAACTAAAATAACCTGCTCTTAAAAAAATAAGCATTTTATACAGCTGTCAAGCTTGAATTTTAGCCTAGCTTCAGCTTTTAGGTGTTGGATCTTATTTTACTTTTGTGCAGCTGAGTAGAAAGTCTTATTGACACAGTTTTGTTGGTCACATAAACTGTGCTTCCATCTTAACCTGCTCTCTGTTAAAAACAACAGGTTGCACACCTCAGCCCTACTCTGCTGGAATGTTTTCAATCGTTTACTCATATTCACACCACTTCTCTAAATCCTTAGTGATTTATAAATAATCTCCTTGACCATAGGAAAGCCAGGCCAGCATTCAGAACTCCATGGAGATTACGCCTCTGGCACAGAAAAAAGTAGTATAAATTCCCTTCTCCTTCACAAAATTCTCCTGCCAGCATGTACAAGGATAAATATTGACTGAGAGATTGGTTGGTTATTCTCGAGTTCAATACATTCCTTTAAGTTAAAAGTCAAGAGTGTCTATATACTGGAGAATAAACTTTGCGGTTACCACTTTATCCATGTATTTTCAGCTCGAGGTTGATCAATCTAAAAAAACCACATAATTCTTGACCCTTGCAGTACAGAATCCACTTCAGCAACATGGATCTTTTGTCAATATATCATAATGAGAATATTACCATGTATAAATTCAAAACTGTATTTATGAATTCAAGATTTAAACTGACAGAAATTCACATTTTAGCTCAGTAGAACTTCTAGCAATATCAAAAGAATAAGATCTGCAGCACTTTTTATCTTGATCACTAAAGGAATATTCAAACATCCTGGAACATGGTTAGCAGAATCTAAGTGACCAAATATAATAACTTCTGTTGACATTCATAAAGAAGAATGCTCGCTAAAGTATTTTTACTGTCACTAGTCTCAGAAAAAACACTTTTGAACATATTTTTCTTACAGAAAAGGGGGTTTATCGTCTGAACTGTCATGCTATGGTTCAAATAACTGAAGGAAAAAAACCTCTCTTCTTCTAATGTTTCAACTACTCTCCATTCAAAAGATCCAACTCATTGAATTTATTCACCACAGCTGTCTTCATCACTATCATCCTCACAGTCAGCTTGACCATCACATCTTCTGGATGCCAGGACGCACCTCCCAGAACGGCATTTGAAGTGACTGGGTGAGCATTCTGTCAACGACAAGGAACAGGGAGAAACAAGACTCCATGAGCTGCAAGCTTAAATATCACTGTTTCGAAGGAGTAAATGACAGGAATAGAAAGCTTGTGTGATACTGAACTGGAACTATGTAACAGTCAAAACTCTTAACAATTGCACTGTGATTGTGGAGGACCAAAATTTTCCAGAGCTCTCCCTCACATGCTACCCTCTGTCAAATTTCAAAGCTTTGCCAAATACAAAGCACCAAATTTCAAACACTTTCATAGGTTGTGCATAATTGATCCTTCCTTCGAATAGATTTCTTCCTCTTATCTGCAAACTGTAGGTATTCAAATTTCCTGAACCCACTTTGGAATAATATCTACAGTTTAAATAATGTAATTTAAATAAGAGGTATAGGGGAAAAAAAACCAGTGACTTTGGGAACCTAATTAAATCTTTAATTTCCTCTTACATGTATTTATAGGAGTTACCTTCTACATCTTCATCTGGTGTTAGACAAGTCTGGTTGTCTGAGTTCTCATCTGGAAACTGAGTGCAGTCAGTATCTTCTGGCCACTGCAGACCTACAATCCCAAGCACAGACTCGCAGCGTTCTTTGGACTGTACACATAATGTCCTGAGGAGACAAAGTGGAATTGCACAAAGTAACTGAATGAAAGTATTAGAAACTCCCAGTTACTCGAAGTTAATAATGCTAGCCAAAGTTAAATATGAAGATCAATGAAAAATAAGTTAATCAGATATATTTACATTAAAAAATATATATATCAAAAGATATGTTGCTACTGTCAAAACATTAAGTTACTGTATGCAAACCATTACCTGAACTATAACATAGTAGCCAAATATAACTACTTGCAAGCATCCTCTCCTCTGTAAGGGATGGCAGAGAATCCACTTTAAGAAGCACTGACTGCCTTCCCTCAGGAAAAAAGCCAAACACATTTTGTACCAGTGAAATGATACCTCTTCTGATGATGCTGTCTCAGAAACCATGTGCTTTCACAAGGACAACATATTTAAACATGTAAACAAAAGAGCAAAGAATTCTCCAGGAAATTCAAGAAAATCAGAAGTTTGGGGAAAATCAAAGCACAGATCAACACAGTCTTGAAGGTGATGTCAGTTAGAACAACAGTGTCTTTTATCACACCTGGGAAAAGGCATGAATATAGTTCTCCTGCTGCATTTCTTTTTTTTTAACCATAGAAAGACAAGACTTAACACACAAAATTAGTTCAGTCCATCTAGGTTAATATGCTGCCTCTCAAAATACCCAATGTTAAATGCTTCAAAAGTACAAAAAGAAAATGCATTATAGAAAAATCCTCTATTTTTTTTAAGCATTATCTTAAACATTTAGCAAATAATTTTGCCAGGAATCATAGCTGATGTGCTGTTCAATACAATAGTCTTGTCTTGTATCTGTGGTATTTTGAATCTCTGTTTGTTTCAACTGCCTCTCATTTTATTTTTGTAGAATATTAACTAGGCAGTATGGGATTAGGAACCTCAACATCCTTCTCATCTCTTCCTTCAAACAGAAACATGCATCATGCAACAGGTTGTTTTGTCTAAGCTGTTCTTAAAAACCCTTCAGTTATCAAGATTTTATATACTCCCTTATCACCCATTCTCATACAGAGATACCTATTTTTTTCCTTATATCTGACCTACAGCTCTTCTGATGTACTTTAAATCCATTGTTTTCTAGTTTAACCTCAGTGAACATGGTGAACAATTTATTTTCTCACAGAAGCTCACTTTTACCTATTTGAAGGCTATGATGTCTACCCAAGTTGTCTTTCTGGGCTCAGCAACGAATTTAATTGCACCTTTTAGATCACATTTTCTAAATCTATAATAATTTGGACTTTCTCCTACCATTTCAAAGAAAATTCTCCTTTGTTCTTATAGACTGAAAAATAGTCAACAGTAGAATACTATCCATTTCTAGTTTTGGGGGTGTTTTTACAGTTTCTTTCATGTCACTTTCGACTTGCCTTTTATTTTATTTGATTAATTTTTCTAGATCTTTCTTCAAGGAACAGACAGTTCGTTCGCGGAAGGCATTTTATTCCACTCATTTTCCTTTGATATTTTGACCAATGGACCATTGAAGCTTATTGCAAGAAATGCAGTGATGAAAACCAAGCAAACAGATACATTTAGGATCAATTATTTTATGCTCTTTTGAGAAATGAACACACTATTAATCTTCTCAAATTTAATTTTGTTTTGGGGAATTGCATGAAGAAGAGTCAATGTTTTTCCACACCAAATGATTCACCATCGAGCTGAGCAGCAGCTGGAAGGAATGGATGAATTAAGTGACATGAGTTAACCATGCTACAGTTACAGACTCTGTCTTTCCTTTTAGATCCTTCTCAGTATCAAAAAGTTTGACTCTCACCACTTCAGGTTTATGAATGCCAGAATTTTTATTTACCAATGACAAAAACTCAAACCCAACAACAATACTATGATGAATAAATCTTAAAAATTTGATTTTGATAGCTAAGACATCTAAGCCATTTCTGTCCTGTGTTCTCTGCATACTCCAATCTTTGGCCAAAGCTGACCCTTTCCAAAAGCTATTGCAAGTCATTTAGTTGTCATTCTGAGGTGAAAGAATTAAAATGCACATAATCTTCAAGTAGTGCCCATCACAGCGCATACGGAAGTCTATTGCAATACTGCTAGGAAAATTGCAAGACCAATTGTTACTTTTTCTTTTTTTTAATCCTTCCCACATTCCGATACCCAGTCTCACAGCTGGGGTATCAGAATACCTTGGTTAGAGTTCTTTATTTACTTCTAAGACAAATCTCTTCTGTGGTACTGTCTATGAATCAATCTAACAAATTAACAGTTAAAAATTATACTTCACAAAGCAGACAAATCTCCCCTTTCTTGTTAGAAGAAATAAATACAAGGTTAAAAAAACAGAGGTAGCATAGAAAGGTGTGATTTTCTGCAATGGAATTCAATCTAACACTTTTTAAAAGAATATTAAACATATTTAGCAGTTAACTAAAATATCTCTTTGCTCTCCCAATTCACATACAGTAATGAGATGCCTAGATTGATGCTAGCACATAAGGGGTATGAGATCTGACCAGGATTATTCTTCATACACAACTGTCTCAGTTTTGAAACACCACCAAAGACATCTGGAGACTACTTAAATACACATACAGTGTAATCTCCATTTCATTATAGGCTAATGTGATTTGGAAGACATTCACTGGTTCCAAAATAAGGGACACTGATAGACTTATTGCAATGTTGTGAAACCCATAATCTCCAGAAGCTACTCAGCACCTTGCAAAATCCATTCATACCAAAGATAGATTGTAATTATAAGGAAACGTGGATTTCTGAGCTTATTCCATGTTCTTCATCTATAAAACTCCATTTGTTTTCTGTGGGAACCCAGCACACACTTAGCTTCAAAGATTATTTAACCAGACCTGGACTAACATTACCAATGCCTCATCAGAGATGAAGAATTTTGTTCAGAATTTGAAAACATACTTGATAGATTAATGAATTGCCTCAATAACAGCAAGTTCAGTTCTTTAAAATAAACCCTCTTCACCTGTATTCCGTATTCTGAACAAAATTTCATGAAGACCATTACAGTTAAAAAATGAAGCGTGACAGTCAAACTAATAACACAAAGACAATGGGAAGCCTTTCAAAGCAGGAACAGATGTTTTATACAAAAGGAGTAGAATTAAAATTATTTAGTTATACCACCTAGAATGAAAAGATCAACATGCCAGTATTAAAAAAAAATCTAACACATCTCTGATAAGTATATTTTAAAATAGATGCAGCATTATAACATGAATTAGCAATTCATGGTTGGAAAGTGCACTTGAAAAGCTTAACACTGAAAAACTGCATTAGCTGAACTCCATTTCCTATTTACAGGAAAAGATAGGTAAAGCAATACATATGTCCTGTTAAGCTCAACTAACCACTTATAACTTTGAACAAGAGGGCAGTTATTTTGCAAAGGCAGCAGCAGATTCTCATAATATAATTCTGCTTCATACAAAGCTCACAGCATCTTTCTGGACAAGCTGTCCAACTGTGGGATAAGCAGGTTCACGGTGTGCTGGGTGAAGAACTTGGTGAAGGGCAGAGACTCAAAGGGTTGTAGTGAATGGGGCTACACTTGTCTGGTGAGTGGTAACCAGCAGTGTTCCTCAGCAATCAATCCTAGGGCCAGTTCTGTTAATATATTTATAAATGGTCTGGATTCAGGAGTTGAACAAGTTTGCTAACGGGAAGTGCTGTAGACTCTCCTGACGGACAAGAGGCCTTGCAGAGGGATCTAGATAGACTGGAGTACTGGGCTACGATTAATGGGATTAAAATTAACAAGTCCAAATGCCAGATCCTGCAGCTTGGATGGAGTAACACTGGGCACAAGTATAAACTAGGAGATGAGTGGCTGGAGAGGACCCTTCCAGAAAGGGATCTAGGGGTGCTGGTCAACAACAGGCTCAATATCAGTCAGCAGTGTGCCCTGTCAACCAAGAGGGCAAAACACATCCTGAGGTACGTCAAACACAGTATAACCTACCAGTCAAATGAGGTGACTGTCCTCCTGTATTCAGTGCTGGTGCAGCCTCACCTCACTGTGTGCAGTTATGGGCCTCACAATTTAAAAAAAATCCTTGAAAACGTCCAGAGGAGGGCAACAAAGCTGGTGAAAGGGCTAGAAAGAATGCCCTATAAGGAGCGGCTAAGGACTTTGGGCTTGTTCAGTTTGGAGAAAAAGAGGCTGAGGGGTGACTTTATTGCTCTCTACAGCTTACTGAGGAGGGGAAGTGAAAAGGGAGGTGCTGATCTCTTCTCCCCAATATCCAGTGATAGGATGCATGTGAATGGTTCAAAGCTGAGCCAGGGGAGGTTCAGAGTGGGCATTAGGAAGCATTGCTTTACCAAGACTGTGGTCGAACACTGGAACAGCTTAGAAAGGTGGTCAATGCCCCAAGCCTGTCAGTGTTTGAAAGGCATTTGGACAATGCCCGTAACAATATGCTTTATCTTGTTCAGCCCTGAATCCATTAGGCAGCTGGACTAGATGAACATTGTAGGTCCCTTTCAACTGAGAGTCTAGTCTATTCTATTCAACATATACGTTTCGAAAATTATTGAACTGCTATTCCCCTCTCCTTGTTTCAAATACTTCAGATACTAATCACTTATATGTAATAAACTGGAATTAATGATCTTATAAAATATGGTTCTCTACCTTTTGCTATGGAATTCCAAAGCAAAATTCTTGACATTTTGAATGGAAACAGAGCATTTGGAAAGACTAATATGACAATGTCAGTCAAGAATTAAATGAAATATAGTATAGTACCTGCAAGGTGGGATCCGCTCATTTGTATTGGGGTCACATTTTGGTACTAAGATTGTACACGCAAAAAACATAAGGTACTTGTAGCAGTTGGTCTGAACCAAGGCTGGGAAAAGAGAAGACTCCCAGCTGATAGAGGCTTCCTTCTGTGTCCTGTGTCCCAGGTAGTTTGGGTAATAGGTATAATTGTAAGGCAAGTTCATACAGAGTTCCAGAGTAATTGGTTCACACTGACCTTTCACAGACAGAAAATAAACAAACAAAAAAGAAACACAAATGGTGTATAATTAAATGAAATGCAGAAGAAAAAATTCATAAGTATTTAACAAATGTATCAGCAGATTTCCTCTCAGGTTTGAGAAACTACAAGTTTCAGAGCTCGAGACCCCATATGAGCATATTCATACTAGTAAAGAAAGGTGGGTTTGACTCTGTCTACCTAATAACCTATTCAGATATTTATATTCCCTTATCAATATGCATTAATTTCCTGAGTAACATCTTAACTTTAACACAGTACACTAAATAATTTTTTAAAAACAGATTTATTCTTTTCAAAGCAAGTTTCTGATGATGTTCAAGAGCTCCTGTACTGTACAGCAGCACACTTCATATTGACATACTATGCTACCATAACACACTTGATACTGCCAGGGCAACTGTTAAAATCATGATGACTGGGATCACAGGATTCTTTGGGTTGGAAAGGATCTCAGAAGGTCTCTAGTCCAACATCCTACTCAAAGCTTGGTCAGCTCTGACGACTAATAAGGTTTCTCAAGGCTTTATTCAGTCAGGTCTTGAAAAATCTCTAATGGCAGAGACTGCACAATTTCTCTGTAGAGAAAACAGAAGGCTGGATTTAAAAAAAAAAATTCTTTTCTGCATACCAAGGTATGCAAGACGAATGGGGACAATTATGTTATGTATTACACAAACACTGAGTAAGAGAGTCCATATGGCAATAACTTCATTCAGGTAAGACATAATTGATAATAAAGAGAATGATAAGCTGGAGCAAAACAAATGCAACAGCTGTAAGTCCATATGATTACACAGACTACAGCTATATACAAAATCATTGAACTTTTAGGGGGTTTATCACTACACATGTTGAACCGACCAAATATTTTGGATTTAAATAATTGTACAGCTTTTGTATTTCTTCTCAAACTGGTAGTCAGAAACATTTATTTTTCATTTTTTACACCACAACAAAAAATTACATAATTTCACTTCCACTCAGACTGATATTCAGCTTTTTATTTAGCACTAAGACCAATATAAAACAATTTAATTTCATTTACTTTTGAATTATGAGAACATTTTCCAAGAAAAGGTGTACTATTCAGAAATAATTTGTTAGCAAAAGACTCCATTTGCCTATTCTGGAAACAAATGTATCTTAACACGATTAATATTCTCTGCCACCCTGCTGCTAGTGTCTGTTGCCAGCACAGTATGGCAACTGTGTAATCCTATAGCTGGATCTTTGAGGGGTAGTTGAAATAAGATTCAATAGTCAATTTTTCAGCTGAGCAGCACAACAGTCTTTCTTGGACTGGCATTCCCTGTTATAACCTCTTTTAGTATTTACTTCTAATCTGAGGATGAAGAAGCTCATTTTATATACATCTTTTCCTCTCTGCTTCCATACTGCCAATACTGAACTATTTCTTTTGTCTCAAACCACTTAGTCCCAACTTTGGGGTATATGAGGTTCCAAGACTTCAACAATCCTCCTCAAATTACTGCCATTTCCTTTTCTTCATGATAAACTCTCCCTTGTCCTCCCATACTTCAGCTCCAGATGCCCAGATAAGTTTGGTTTTGTCTTTTGACTTTTCCCCAGTAAGCATCTTTTCTTGATGCGTACAGAATATCACAAATTCATCAGTATTTAATGATGAAACCTGAGTAAATGAATACAAAACTACATGCAATGTTCTAAGTGTTTGTATAACATAATATTATTCAAGACTAAAGGGTAGAAATGCACATATATCACTCTCTCTTGTTATGCCTCATATTTATAGGGGTTTAGTGAATTCTAGAAGAAAATCTAGTCCACTGAAATGCTCCTGTAGGATAGCTCTTTACATGTTTTCAATATGATTACAATTTTCACACTGTGTTTAAAAAGCTTACATCACATTATGTGCAAAAGTGTCCTTGTAGGTTTGTAAAGAATCATTGCAACTCACACCCAATTCCCTACAACCCACAAGCAGAGTAACAAAGAGAACATATACTCCAGTGAAAAATCTGACTGGATTTAGGTAACTTACATATTATTTTTTCCTTCTGATGTCTGTCCTACAGTATAAGAGATCTTGCTACTCCCTTATTTATAGTATAAGTACAACCTAATGAGCGGGGAACAAGGAATAGAATTCAGTGCATATTTTATCCTAAACAACAACAACAACAACAAAATCCAAACGATGCCTAGGTTTAGTATCTTCGTGTATTTATTACTAACATGCTCTATCTAGTACATAGGAATTATTTCCAAACATAGTAACAGAAGCGAATGGGATATTCCACAGAATCACAGAATGGCTGAAGTTGGATGGCACCTCTGGAGGTCATCTGGTCAAATCCCCTGCTTAAGCAGGGCCACCAAGAGCAGGTTGTACAGAACCATGCCCAGATGGCTTTTGACTGTCTCCAACGATGGAGTCTCTACAACCTCTCTGGGCAACCTGAGTTCAGTTACCCTCACAGTTATAAAAGTGTTTCTTTAGTTCAGAAGTAACCTCCAGTGTTTCAGTTTGCGCCTGTTGCCTCTGGTCCTGTCACTGAGCACTGAAATAGACTGGCTCTGTGTTCTTTACACTCTCCTTGAAGAAGAGATATTAGTTTCATTATCCTAAATATGTTGTAACTGCATTATAATGCGGAGACTAAACTGATCAGACATTATCACATATAGAAAATATTCATTATATTCAATATTACGAAACTTTGCTTATGCTCTGTAATTTTCCAACCAAAGAGTTATTTGAGCCAGAAAATATTGCTTTGTCAAAACTGAAATTTTCTACAGTATTCTAATCTTTTACCAAAGATGAAATAACTCTGGTCAAAATATGAACAGCAAAAAATAACATGAAAAAAGACCATAGTACTTCCAGTTGTTATGCGAGAAAAATCTCTCCCAAATTCTCTTGCTGTTCCATTGTGTATAAACAATAAAATATTCACTGGACCAGAAAGAGAGAGAAATATGATCCAGAAGTCTAGTACAGATTATGTGTTACTCCTGTTGAGAATTATGGACTGTTGCCAGTAATATGATGAGGAAACAACTTCACTAAAAAGCTTTTGGCTTTCTCAGGACATAGAATAGGAACATTGTTTTAGAACTCAAATATCATATGATAAAAAACGTCTTTCACTATCTTGTAACATAGTCCTAGCCACTCCAACATTTTCCAAAATTGTTGTCCATATATAAGATGGGATACAGAAATCTGCATTGATCAGGAA